GGGGTTCTGGAAAATGTAGTGAAGAATCTTGTATCAAGATGTTTAAATTTCAAATTGATTGCAAGAGGTAGTTTATATTGAGTAGGGTGGAGCCGATTTTGTGTTGTATAAATCAGTATATACTATCAGGAGTTTGAATTGATGTAGTATAATATCATATGTCTAGTTGTTTTGATCAAATGGTTGCTTTGTACCTTGTACGATTTTGCTTGCAACCTGCTGTACCTATGCTGTACTATCAGATATCTCAAAGGTAGGTAAGTTGAGGTTTTTCTGTGTAATTTGGCTGTAGGATTGTTTGGTTGTTTCAGTAAAGTCCATTGTGTAAGTGATATTGTTGATAGTGATTGTAGTATCTGCATATCTGCAGTAGTAGTGATATTTTTTGTTTTTGTGTGTCTTAGTGGAGTGAGCTGATACACAGTGCTCTAATAGTTAGCATTATGCTCGAGAATATTAGCTTGAGCTGCTGACCTCTTGCTTGTTTTGTATAATCTGGAGAATGCAGTAGATGTGCTACCTGTTGTATTACCTTTTAATGAATAATTACTAGTTTTCCTTTGTTATTTGATATCATCTTTGTAGTACTAGTGGGGTTGTTATAGCTTGTATCTTCATCTGTATCGATATCTGGAATTAGATTGTATAGGATGCGTACTATATCTTTATAGTATTTTGGTGCATTATATGATTTCTGTATTTGCTTATATACTTTGATTGTGATTTCTATATCACAGTTATATGTACCTCTAGGTAGTTTGGCATTGATGTTTACAAAGCTGCATTTGGTGCTTATAAGGTCAAATAAGATTGATTTAGTTGTGTCACTGTGTTTGCATATCTATTGTGTAAAAAATTTGACTATATTTGGTATAGTCCCAGACCGGAAAAATTCTGCAGTAAAGAGAAATTTGTTTGCAAATTCTGGGATATAAAAGGTAATAATGAATGTAAGTTTAGACTAGTCTTTAATATTAATGTCTATGAATTCCTTGGTATATTCAGTCATAGCATACTTGTTTGGAGTAGTAGTAGGTGTAGTGGTTTTAGAACTTGACTTGCCGGTAATGTAGGTTAAGGTGTTAAAAAAAGAAAAGCTACTGGAGGAGCTAGTATTTGTAGGTACTTGCTGAGTAGTTGTTTTTGGTTTTGAGTATGCATGATTGTTGTTATTGGTAACAGTAGTCTTGCTAAAAGTTGCAGCTTTAGTTGTTGCAGAAGGGTCTATAGGACCAATTCCGCAAGAAGAGTAGAAGTTTGCCAAAGAGCTGCTTTTTTGTCTTCTGCCTGTGGTGTTGGCAGAGGGTCTTGCGACCACTAGTGTTTGTCCACTATATGCTAGTTTAGATACCGAACAAGTTTAATTAGAAGCTAGAGATATGTTAGCTTAGTATAGTCTCCAGTTATTGCCTTGCCAGTTTTTTCATTCTTGTTCCGGTTTTGGTAAAAGTGATCTACAGAGAGAGTTTTTGATCATGAAAAAGTCTTTTTTAATACATCAATATAATTATCATAAACAAATATGTCAATATTGTAATTTGGAAATTTTTTGTTTGTCCCACATATGATGCGTGATTGCATAACTGTTTTAAACAACAAAACTGGTAAATATGATAAATACAGTAATACAGACTCATGGTAAGTTATTCGTATAATTGGTTGGTATAAATTAATTGTCTGGGTAACTTAATTATACACTTTAGAGTACTTTTTAAGAACATAATAGTTTACTAACAAAAGCTATTTATAATGCTCCAGACTTATATTGGTTCCTGATTCCTAGTATAATATATTTTATATAACTTACAGGTTTTTTATAGTTGTATAAAAGCAACTGAATAGGCCACACTTACTTCTTGATGCCTTCTGTTTAATTTTTTTATTTTTTATTAGAAGCTGATTTAATAGAGTTTAAATCAATTATCTATTTTTCTCATTGATGTTAGTGAAGAGTTTGAAGAACATACTTTAATTCATTCAATTATATCTAAAATTGCTCTTTAAAACCTTTCTGATTGCAGATATTATCCTTTTGTATATGTCATATGATATTTAGTTCTATTTTTTGGTATAATCTAAATACAAAGTATTATCAAGGCTATCTAATATTAGAATAATTTTATCTTATATATTAAATAAATATTCATTAATCTAATAGCTCTATCATTACTTAAATATATATACCATCAAGTAAAAAAATTAGAAAGTTTAAATAATAACTGATATAAATAAATATTCATAATAATGTATATGAAACAGTTTATATTGTTCTTTGTTTATATCTTTCAAAATAACATGTAGCCTTCTTTGATAGCAGTAGGTGGTTCAGAAGAAATCGATAGTTTTTGTTATTTATTATTATCGTATTTCTCTTTATGCTTTCCTTTCTTTTCAGAGACAGTATTGATAGTGGCAGTATTATCGGGACCATTGTTGGTAGTAGCAAAGATGTTGAGACCATTATTAGTAGTAGTGGTGGTGATATCAGGACCATTATTGGCAGTGGCAGTGATAGTATCAAGACTATTATTGGCAGTAGCAATGGTATCAGGATCATTATTGGTAGCAGTGGTAGTGAATTCAATATTTTTATCAATAATATTGGCACCAGTGTTAGTGTTGCCAATATTGCTATCAGGGTTGGAGCTAGTTTTGGTAGTAGTTTTAGTTTTGGTGCTAGTGGTGGCGAGACAGACTTTGGTTAATTTATTTTCTAGGTCTGATAGACCAAAATTATCAAAAGACATATTAGTCCTGTTTTACTAATAGTATAAATAGCTTCACTACTAAGATATTGTCAATATTAATATTGTTGCCTTTATCACAACTCAGAGTTGAAGTTCAGAACATCTTTTTTAGTTTTTTTACTTCATCACTAAAGTGGCTACTACATGCTTTAAAGAATCAAATTCTAGTATATCATAAGGAAGTTTTGAAAAGTATTAAAAGTCTAACTAATATTAATAGTTATTTAACACTACGAACAGTAGGACAACGAATTCTATACAGATTAACAGCATTAAAAAACAATTTTACAACGCATTAAACAATGCATTTTATTAACTAATGCTATTTAAAAATATGTATCATTGTGTTAAGCAACTTATTTTATTAACTAATGCTATTTAAAAATATATATTATTATATTAAGCAATGTATATTTATTATAAAATGCAATTTTTTAATATATTAAGCAATACATAGCAAAGCTTATAACTAATATATAAAATATATGCAATAATTATTAAGTACTAATCTACTACCTAATGTATTGCTAATTAGATTACTTAAATTGTTCTTGCAATTTAATCTTCCTCATAATTGCTATCACTACTATGATCATTTTTATTATCGTCACTACTAGATAATTCATTATAGTTTTCTTGAATCGCTACTTTTGATATTGTGAGAGAACTTGTGCGAGAACTTGCGGGACCTTTTTGCAAAACAGCATCCTAAAAAAAATTACATGTTCAAATTAGAGGTGCAGGTATAACTTTGTAGCTTGTTATAACTATAATAAGTTATGAAAAAAATATAGTAATTTACTATAGTTATAACAAGTTACGAAGTTATACCTGTACCTCTAGTTCAAATAAATTGGTAAAATCATAAATAAA